AACTAGCCATGATAAACGTTGACTTGTTTTACTTGTTTTTTTGCTGATCTTTAAGTTAATTTTTACATTTAGAATTTCGTTTGGTTGAACCATGCGAAAAACAACAGGACGGTGATAGGATTGGTCGATGTATCAGCGCCTGTCATTACCCTTCAGATACATCATTAGTGATTGTCAACCTGACAGCCTACAATCCGCAGTTAAACTCTGACGCTGAAAGATGCAGGTAAAACTAAGCTTTCAGGCACCATCAAAAATATCACTTATTTTCCTAGACTGACTACAACGTAATTAAAATGGCACACACAGTTTTGCTCTTAGTAGCGACAATTTTCCGCTGTTATATTTCATCTAAAATTATTATCAAATTTTTCTACCTTTTTTTTTCCCAAAAAACTGCATCCTTTGCAAACGTAGCAAACGTCCTTAGCACAAATGGTATCCAGTTGACACTTCAACTGTTTCCTGAGATTCTCATTGCTACTAAAAAAAACCTCATAAATTATATCGTTCTTTTTTTTTGTATTACTGAATTTTTACTCTAGATACAGTAAATTACTGATTCAATTTTCATTTTCAAGTTGTAACAGACATAAAATTTTCATGTTGATATATAAACTAATGCACCAGCAAATGTCTTGAAATTTATTAAGAACAAAACATTTCTGCTGTGCAATTGTTTTGCATGAGTAATGTAATAACAGAAGCATTAAATGCAGTGAAAAAATTTCTTGACAACTATTCACGGTTTTTTGTGTGGTTAAAATTTTGAAAAAAAAAAAAGTAACTGCCATGCAGAAGATACCTGACAACCGCTAAAAAAATTTTTTTGGGAGATTAAGTTTTGGACAGCGAAAATTTGTTGAATAAAATTACTCAGTTTTCTGCAGACAATTTGAAAGTTTTTTTATCAACTACCCAAAGATTCTAAACTTTTACTGTACCAAAAGTATGGTACTTAAAGAAGCAAAACTTTTACACAATTACCGGAGGAATTTAGATTGGATATGACAATGTTATGCAGTTCTACTCATCACCACTGAGCAGGTGACATCAACTAGATAACATGTAAAGACAGCATCTTTGAGGTAGTTACTGTTAGAAAGACAAAACAGTATAAAGTCTTTGCCATACTTATATCACTGCTTTGGTAATTTTCTGAAGCGAACAATTTTTGAACTGTTACCGCACACTTTATTCCCGCATTGCCCATTGATAATTTGTTGCATTAAATGATTTGGTATTTTCTACAAACAAAAAAAAATTGAGGATTTTAATTTAGTTCCGTAAAATGTGTCCTGAAATGTTCAATCTCCAGTTTGAATAATGACTGTCCTGGTTCCGGAGCAATATTTAAGGTATATTTGCAAAAAAAATTATGACAAATTTCTTCCACCCATATCATATACATGTAACAATTGTAACGCAAGTATATTTCAGAAAGTGGTTAGAACAGCAGTAAGTATAAACTTAGAGCACATAAACGAGTACATCAAAAACAGCACAGAATTTAAAGACACCGAAAATTTAGTGGCATCTACAGATCCTGAATGTCGCTTCTTTGTAGACTTGGACAAATTCGACAGCGTAAGTTCCTCAATTTACTGTATCTTCTAAAATGACACCTTTCACTACAAGAGAGAATTTATTTTTTAGATGTATCCGGACGATGAGTCAGGAGCCGGAATGCCAACCGAAGTAGCAAATGTAGAAGAAGTTGCGCCCACAACACCGGTAACCAATACTTTAAATTTTAGGAGCTTTTATATCTGATCAATCACATTTACAGATAATTTAAAGAATTTTTTTCTTCAAAGAAAGTGAAAATAGTTATAAAGCAAAGTTTTGTTCAGTTGAAAATAGCTCTTTCCACGCGATTGAAAAAAGATATTTGTTTCCGTTCAGGAAAGTAATCCCGGCAATACAAATATTAAGCCAGTATTTGGAGAACCAGACGATAAAATGAGCACTAGAATTGTTGAAATTGCTATTGAACCAGAAACAGTAACACCAGTAACTTCAACAAATGACGACACATTGTATTACTTTTCATCAGTAAGCACTTCTAACCAGTTCAAATTAACCAACAGTCCTGTGCCATTAATGTGTATAATTTTTAAATTTGATCAATCTCCTCACCACTTCATAATAATTTTAGGCCACTGAAGGCGCAGAAACGACTGTAACATCAATTCCCGCAATTCCTGACGTACCAGGCATGGATGATGGAGATCAGGCAATCCCCGACTCAGTACCAGGAACTCAGAATAATGATGAAAAAACACAGCAAAACGTAGAACCCAGCCAGGTAATTTTTCTCCCAGAAAATACAGTTTTGTTAAATTATCATAATTTATGTATCCCAATTTCTCCTCACTTCCAGATAACTTGCTGCCAGCTATAAAAAAATTACTTTTATTTTCAAACTTTAGTCGTTTTTTTGAACCATATTTCTCATTCGCTTTTCTAAAAATTACCGTCAATAAGGCCAGCAATTGATTTTGCAAAAGCGGAACAAAAACATTCAAAAATTGGCTGTCCGACAAAAGGGAATCAAATAATCAAAGTGGTGTTCTTCCCTTAACTTCATTAAAGCAATTGCTATAAAAACGCTTCACCAGTGACATTGATAAACCGATAATAACTAAATTCAAGAAACATGAAAGGTCTATTTTTGACTCTGGTCAACAATACAGCAAAGATATTAACGAACAATCCACCTATTAACTCTTGAAGCCAGTCAAAAAATAAGATATATGTTCTTGTCAATATTACTTCATCAGATTCTATATTTGTAATATGTAATATAGCAACCATAATCTTGAAAAAATTCTCAAATTTGCAGGACGTTTTACCTGCAGCAGATGCGCCTAATTTCACACCAGCAGATACCAAAGAAAGTGGTGAGACTACAGTCGATCTTAGTCAAAATACAATTCACATCAGTGATGACGAAGCTGAAAAGAACAAAAATGTTTTGGAAAACGTTGCCAGGCCGGTAAGTGTCACAAAAAGAAATTCTTTACGTTCTCGCTTTCTTTAATGTCATTCTCAGTGTACAGTTTCCGATGCTTCAAGAACAGCAATTTTCTTATTCAGTAAAAAAAATTGCTGAAAATAACTGTAATATACTTAAATAGTTCTAGTTAAATGCAGCATTGAAACAATAAAGTTTTTCAATTTTAAATTTACAGATCAGTGGAGCACCAAGACAACCACTTGATTTCTTCCTTCTAATAACGCTGTTTTATGCGATACTCTTCCTGCGTACTTAAAACACGAGTCGAGAATTTCGAAACCTCCAGTTTTAACCTGTTGAGCTACTTCGACGGCTACTTTGCCTTAGTCTTTATCACTACGCTCAGAAAGTGTTAACTTCTTGTACTATCTTTCCTTGACTTTGAAAAATCGACCATCACTTTTGCTGTTGTAACTGCGTGCCTCTTATAGAAGTAACTTCCTTTCTCTTTTTCCAAAACAATGTTAGCACAGATGACGACTACACTCTCTCGATCGCCATCAACTTCACTACTAATCCCCAATCATTCCGGCTTCCACTGGCCACGTGTCTATCTCACTTAATGACCTATGTACATAGTTCTGTATTTTATAACACGTTAAAACACCAAGTATTCATTTGAAAAGACAGTTACCCATGTAATTTTAGAGATTAGCTCCATTAACCTACTATGTCTTGAACTTTTATATAGGCAACAAAGTAAGAAAGTTGCGTTGTAGTAAAATTTTAAAACTTTAAAAGAGATTAAATAAAGGAGGTTTTATTCTATTCTGAATAAATAAAAATTTACATATTAAGTTACTCTGACAACTTAAACAGCAAATATTCTGCACTAACATTACAAATACTTATCAGAAACTCTACTCAGAACCTTTGAAGCTGAAAAAATCATTAGTGAAGTAGCATTTTGTACATCCAGTCCTCCACCTCACCGTAAAATAACAAGTACAAAGCCCCACTATCCTAATAAATCCGACAAAAAAATCTGAGCATTTCACAAGAATACATTTCAAAAAGGTTCCTCAGCAGATGATAAAAACGAATAACCAAATATAAAAACTCAGATGAGCAAGACATATACCAAGAAAAGAAGGGAGTTGAACTCATTATTCTGCCATATACTTCTGACAAAAGATTATTATGTTATACCCGTACAAAGTGATATGCAACTAAAATAAAAAAAGAAAACTATTATTCTGCCATTCAAAAAAGTTAACTACACCTTGCAGACAACAGATAAGAAAAGTGCTGGTCAATCATCAAGTGAAACGCTGAAAGCAGTTAAGTTTGATGCTTTACCCGACGCCGTTTCTTTAGCTTTTTCTTCCACAAGTTTCTGCTCTTATTTTCCTCATTTTGAGGCCCCTGAACCGCAACTATTAGAAGTGAAAACGAGAAGAAAAAGAAAATTAGAAAATTGAATAAAGCTACGGACAAACTATCCAACTTTATTTTGAAGTACAAATACTGATCCTAGGGAGTTGAAAACAGAACTGGACTGCATAACTCTCTAAAGCTCAAAATCGTAGCTGAATAATGAGATATGCAAAAGTTGTATTCAATTAACCTGACTGTTTTCATTTCCTCCGAAAGCCTTTGCCAACTCAGTGAAACCTGTTTTCTTATTGTTCTGCAACCTTTTCCTCTTTTCAGTCAGTTTTTTTCCTGCACGTCTACTGCGCTTACGAGTTCCTCTTTTTTTTGGTGGCTCTTCCTAAAGTTGAGTGAATTAAGCTTATAATGACACGCATTTCAAACAAAGGGCAAAAAGCAAGAGTTTAAGAAGCAACGATAGATACAGTCTGAAGTAAGATTGATGAGTACTTCAATAAATACAGGAGTTTTAAAAAAGATGTTTTTTAAAATTTGAACCACACATCTTCCTCCATTCCAAAATCGACCACGCCTTCAGGAGCATCCTCAAAATGAACATCCAGATCAGATACGCCAGATAAATCGCTTAATCCGCTACAAGTGGACTCAATTTCTGTCAATGATCCATCATCACTCTCAGCTTCAGAAGTCACACCAGAACTCTGGAAATTTATGCTACACTTGAACAACGCAGACAAGGAACTGGTCACAGAGGATTAAAATCTTGCCCCGCAAAATAGAGAAAGAAAAATAAATCAATAAAACCAAAAAACCTCAGCCTTTTCGATATTCGAAGGACTTTCCCCTGTAACATTTTCACCCTCAAGCTGCTCCAGGTCCTCTTCAGCTGGTAACTAAAATTACAGCTTTAAATCAAGTTGACTTTACTCGTAAGCCCAAAACAGTAAGCAACTTACAGTATTTTCACGTTGCTTGGTCTCCTCTTCACAACCTGGTGGTGTTACAAAATAAGGTAAAACACCACGCTGAAAATCATTGAGAATTCCTTTCGCAGCAGCCTTAAAATCAGGTTCGCCACCCTGAAAACGAAAATTGTAGCCAAAACCGA